AAGCACTACACAATGATTTTAATGAAAATTGGGCATTTATTATTTAAGGGTAAAAACAAAAACTCGTAAAAACCATTTTTTTTTACTTAAAAACCTAGACCACCTTGTTCTTATGAGCTTTTAAGCTTTACCGCCAAATACGCAATAAAAATCAAACCAAAATTACTCGAGTATATATAAAGATTTTTTTTACCTCTGGAGACATCAAAATAGAAAAGGGTCTAGGTCTTGCCAGCTACGGTAACGGTAATATCACTTACTTTAGAGTAGTTTCATCCAGAGGAATTTGGTAAAATCAGTTTTTTCTCTTCTCCATTGTCCTTGATGATGTGTAAAGCTAATAGAATTAAACTATATTGATGAAAACGTTAAATAAATATTTCCTGCAATGAATTACATTTATGAGGTACCTGTTGGATGAAATTATCCCAACATTCCTCTAGTAACAGACTTTGTAGAGCAGTCTGAACGAAGGGCATTCTGTTAAAAACCATTTATTACTAATTGTATGTTATGTATTAAATTTATTTTCATGTTAGAAATGACACTATTGCATGTATTTAATGCTGAAGGACAATAAATTATTCTGATTCTTTTTAATAGGTATGAGGGATGAAAAGTAACTGCATAGTGTGGAAAAACAGGAGTGAGAAAGAAAGAGGTGGGGGAAGAGAAACGGTGGAAGGTTTGGTGAAGATGAAGAAGCCTTATCAACACTAAAATCCAATAATAACTGGTTGGTAAGATGTAATTTGTACATACTTGTGTGACTATCGAGTTTTTAAAGTAGAATACAATGTTGCCAACCTCAAAAAATTATACTTACCATCATGAGAGTGGTAGAAATGCAGTCCGGGATCTTCTGCGCGGAAAGTGTAACGGAAAATCTGCGACTCCTCTATAGGACACTGTGTGACCATCGGAACTCCGTCCATGAACTTACTGTTCCGTTGACGTACTCCGTGCCAATGTACTGCAGTGCTGCGACCTGGCATGTGGTTCTTTACATCCACTACGATCAGATCTCCCTCACACACCTAAAACAAATCAAAGTGTACAAATGTAAATTTCTGAAAAAAATCTACTCGCAGCTAAAGTGAAAAACATAATAACAGGGAAGAAGCTATGGTTTCATCATTGTTTTGATGAAAATATAAATTTCTGTTGTGAAATAAAGTCGATTGCTGATATATTACACTCTTTAAAGTTTTAAGGCCACTACACAAGTTCATTTTAGCTTGTCAAATGGATTTGACCAAGCCTAATCGACTGTATTTATGCAAAAGTTGGTTCAAACGATGATATTTCAAGACAGATTGTCGATTGTGTGTGTATAGGAGCATCAGTTTAGTACTCCAAATAAGCTGTTCTGATAATTATGTCTGGCCGAATTAGGTGTATTTAGCAGGATTTTAGATTACTGAACAGGATTTTCGAGGAGATAGACTGAACAGCTTCACTGTTTCTTCTACTTATCTAGATAACTGAAAATATTCTGATGTTTTACTAAAGCAGCTGCTTAGAAAAAAAAAATTTTACAAAATCTCTGGCCGTCCAAAAGATCTTGAATCATCAATTTCAAGTTTATTTCAAATGCTTTATGCGTCATCAGACAACATTTTTGAAGTGGTTGGATCTGTTAAAGAAACTTTCCTTGATTTCTTTTGGTGGTGGATAATTTGTTGTGGTAAATTTCTTTTCTTGAATTGTGTTCTACCAAGAGGTTCTCAAATAAGTTTTCTTTAAAAGATTTGTTCTATTAGATTAATTACCTTTGTTGTTGTTGCCTGGGAAGATGTTTTTACCCTATGCATTTCAAAGGCATGGGTGGCATCTTCAGGGTTAAATCAAATCAATCTTTATCTTCACAAAACGTTTGTACAAAGGATTCTTCTTAAGTTATCTTCCTATCACCAACACTATATACTTACGAAAATATTTATACTCAGAGGCGGTCACTAGTATCGGGGTCAGGTCGATTGAACAAAGCGACAACAAACAGGTGGAGTCACGGCAGGAAGTCTTTCTTCCTTTGTTTAATTTCTTGGACTATGGATGTTAACATTTAGGCTGTAAGTGTTAGATGCATTAGGGTAGTTTGGCCGTTCCTGGTTTATGGTCAGTGCTTTGATCTCTGTTGTGTTGCCGGTTTGTCGCTGTATTTCCAGTTTTTTAGTTTCAATGTTGTATATTAATTTGAAAATTTTAGAGCCAGTGTAATCTTATTTTTGCTTAGGGGGTGTTCAATCCATTTATATTTACATTTTTGTATACCCTAAACAAAAAATCTAATCTTAAAACTATTAGAATAAAATAATATTTGGGGTTACCTGAATGGAGGGTCCAGGCATTCGTCTGTTTATGGTTAGCACTGCTTTCTCAAATCCATCAGCTGTCACACATCCTCTGGCAAAGCAATCAGTGATGTTGGTGAGGCAGTCGTTACAAGCTCTGCACAAACAACATGTAGGTGAAGAGTGAAGACATAGTAAATCGTTGTGACATGGAATTAAAATGTGTTCCTCGGTCCTGGTTTTCTTTTGAAACTAAAGGTCGGGTCTTCTTACTGTCAGTAAACTAAATGGAGAATTTTATTTTACATGTTACTAAAATGTTAATTTTATGTTCTGAGTGAGACAAGGGATATCAGGAAAGCTAAGTATTTTGAGAACTTTTTGTGTGCACTTGAAAATCTTTTCTTAGGTGAGTTAGCCATCTATGTATACCTTCAATGTTCTTCTGAATGAAACAAGGTGTAAGGAAAACATAAGATTTTTGAGAACTTTTTGTTTGCACTTGTAACTTTTCTTATGTGAGTTAGCCATCTATGTACTACTTCTTCTTTATTTTGTCCTAGTAAGTATTCTGAGGTTTTTAAAATTTTACTCACTTGCCCAGCACTGAGTACGGCTCAAAGACGAAGCGATAGTAGCACACCTTAGGGTCATTTTTTTTGCAAGGGCGAGTGCAGCTGTTCCCCGGGAGGTTGGCCGGGTTGTCGTAGAGACCGGAGTCTACATCATCTATCTGTAGGAAGTCGAGGAGTCTTCCTCTTGTACTTGCTGTGGAAAAGTAACAGTAGTATACCTGTTTCATCACATTAACCACCCTGTTGTGTTGTGAAAGAGGTAATCTATTGTAATTGAAAATAAGGGACACAGACTTTTGAGAAAAGCATGATCTGCACACATACAAACTGCATACTTGAATGAAAGGAGTTGATGAGAAAATTTCTCAGATTATAAGCGGGTTTATCAAAATCTAACACTATTCCCAAGCACCAACCTCAACTAAAGGGTTGTATCTAATCACATTTAAAAATATTGAATACAGGTTAGCTAACACATTATACTGTTTGGCAGAGTTAAACTTTGATTCTCATCAAGATTTTCTGTGTTTGCAATCAAGTTATTAGTTTTGATTCTGACATATTATGGTGTTTTTTTTTCACTAAATATTTCAGATTTTGACTTTATGTTGGGTAATAAGTGTGTGTAACAATGTTGTTGTCTGTAGGTCTCAAAAGTTTGGACTTAGTTGTTTGTGTAGATAAGTAGTTAGAGTGCAAGCCTTCAAATCTAAAGGTTGCTGGTCGGATTCCAAGCAAGATCGTTTTGGACCCGGATGCAATTTTTTATTGGGCTATCAATTAATGATCCTAAACAAAAGGTTGTTGTTAGTAAAAAACACCAGGGCTTACGACTGTCCCCTTTTAAAAACATGTTACAAAAGTTCCAGTGTTGTATGTAGAAGCACACACAAAAAAACAATCATTTAAGATGCCATCAGTATACTCACTGTCTGCCGGCCGTCCGTTGTTGACGTTCTCGTAGTTGTTTGCGCTCGGAGGCGGCTGCTGCGAGTTCTGTATCCTCTGCGCCTCAGTTTGCGCTACTCTGTCACGGTAGTTGTCAAACGCTCTGTACTGCGACGGATCTTCCCCATTCCTCCAGTTCTGTGGATTGTTGTTGTGGTATTGGTTGCTGTCTGACCCTTGTGACTCGCCATCTAAAAAGATGTTACAAAGTCATGCTCATATTAAGCCAGAACCTATAGTGTCTTACAGTAAATATATTTGGTCAATCAGCTTAATAGCATTACAGATAATTTTTAAATCAATGTATATTTTACAAACAAATCTATATGTTTTATTATATCTTATATCAGTTTTGACATAGATAAGATTATTTTAGTGATTAACTTTTAGAAAATAATTTTAGTGTAAGAGAGGAAAAAAATTTGTATGTAAGAATTTCAATTATTTTTATTACAGCCTTCTTGTGTTTCTTATCTCATGTGCGTAAACTTTGTCTTTCAAAAATAAGATAACTTTTGATTTTAATAATACCTTAGTCTTTTTTAATTTAGGAAAAACACTTGAAATATGGCATGTGGTACTAAACACTGGTTCTGGGTTATATTAGTATTAATAAACATTTTTGCTGTCATATACTGTATGAAAAAATTTGTACTAAGAAAATCAGCCACCGTTTAAGTTTAAAACATAATTTAAAAGACTTGGTTTATTATACCTTGAACTAAGATCAGAAAAAGTAGAAACAAAAATATTCCCATTTTGGAAAAAATTCAACAAAACTACAGACAGCCGACCTGTCGATCGGACAGCTGGGCACTACCAGACGGCAACATTGCAAATATTGTTCGTTAGGTGTTGATTAGGTCGCGATTGTTTAGAACAATTGGTAGATCAACAAATCAAACGTTAGCTCAGTTGTGTCATAAACGTTCAATGCTAAATCAACAAGTTAATCAAGAGCCTTGTATAAATATTGACTATTGTTTAATAAAGTCCGAGTTTGGCTTTTGCTAAAAACAATAAAGGAAATTACAGCCAACTTTTGTAATGCCATCTGCCCATAACCAGCATAATTTGGTCTATTTTGTATTAGCTAATACACTACAGCTAGCTACTGGGTTATGAGCTTAACGCATAAATGCTAAAACATGCTTACCTTATATTTTACAATCTTAAATACCAGTATCTCTTTCATCAACTTATCGTTCCCAAGGTCAAATATCAGTTTCAAGCAGAGTGATGTCCTCTATCCTCCAACGGCTGAAGACTAAGATGCCTATTGGAGCTGACAACGAGTCTGAACATGCCGGAGTGGTGGGGGTGGAAGGCCGCTGCCACCACGACGTACAGTCCCGGCCATAACCAACACCTTCGCTGGACCTCTGGGCTGTTGACGTATACACCGGACTGTACCTCGGGTGAGACGCAGAGGAAATATTCTGGCTCCAACCTTTCATGCATGGACTCTGTCTGGAAAAAATTTAAAATATGTGTTTGGAAATTTAAACTGAAATAGTACTCTGTGGAGACCTCTTCCATTATATTTTGGTTCTAATCTAATCCAACCTACACAATATAACCATCCTATAGCCCCAAACAGGATTTGTAGACAAACATATCATTTCAACCTAAGAAAAACATATTGGTATAACAGAAAAGGTCCCCCGCCATATGGGAGTCAATTTTGAAAAAAAATAAAATAAAGCATTATTGTTAAAATTAGTGTAGTCAACATATAGGCAAAAAGTTGTAAATTTTATTTTAATCGGGTACTCACCTTATAGACAAAGAAGGCGATATGTAGAGGCCGTTTGGTTTCGGTTTGCGAGAGAGATATAAACACTGGTATACGAAATCTCTTCACATTTAAACTGTATTCCTCTGTAATATCGCTGGGAGAACCTGAAAAGCTTTTACGTTTAGATTACTCAGAAATAGAAGAGTGATGGTATGGTTACATTTTTTATTACCTACCGGTACATTTAGTGGAATAACTCAAAGACCATCAAATGACAAAGCAAATTCAACTATTAACTAGAATAAATAGATTTAAATTAAATTCCAAATTTCCATAACAATTTCCAACGAACATACCATACATAGTGCTATGACAGATGAGGCACAACTTTGGAATATTTTAACCCAAGTATGTAACTTACTGTGAGATGTGTTTTCTAGTCTTCTCACTGACTATGAAACTAGCTGGTTCATAAACCAGGACATTTTAAAATCCCAATGATCAAGCACAACTGACCTGTTGTATTGTAAATGCGAAGTCTTTGCATTGATTATCTTGTTTGAGGTACTTATATTTTGAACAGAAATCAATTAATCATTTTTACTCCCTGATTTGGCATAGGGATTGGCAATCCAATCCCCCGGTATGGAATGTCCGCAAACAGAATCCTTGTCTCCCTACTCTTCATCTGAGCAAGGACTGCCATATTAAACCACGTTTCTTCAGCTTCCTAACACATGGATTGCATTCACCTATCAATATCCAACTCTTCACTCACTTTTCTGTGGCCTTTTCTTGAGTTCGGTTTCATACCAACCCAAGGTGTCATGTAGACTGTGTCAAGGGGTGGAGGGCACCTTACAAAGCGAGGATTATACTAAACTTTGCTTGCCTCGTATGGTTGGTGTGTCCGGGAGAGAGTAAGCAGAAGATCTTTGGCCCACTATCAGTAAGAACTGAGGGTTGTGAGCGAACATCTCAATATTGTTGCGAGAGCCTCCAGCTGACAAACCTCTTTTCCACTCCCCTTCTACATGAACAGTCTGTGAACAAGGTTAGAGTTATATGGTGATGCTACAAAATGTGTTAGAGAACTTTACAAATGGAAAAGAATTTTCTAACAAAAAAGATTAAAACCAAAATAAAACTATACTTGCGAAAAAGATATGAAATTAGCTAACAGACAGACATGAGAACCTTTAAAAATATGAAGGAAAATTCTATAATTAGATGAGAAGGTGTGGTAAACAAAGAGAAGAAAAGAGACTGAAAAATCAGAGGAGCGAAACTAAACATACATGAGGGAATGACTTATAACAAAAACACAGAGAAAAATTGATACAGTTACAAAACAAAACAAACCAGAATATCTCAGAAAAAATTGTTTAAAATTCAACAAGCGAGGAACCCAAAGAAATATTTTCTTTCCCTCTGACGAATTGGGAATTTTGTGATACATAGAAAGAAGAAACCCAAATCTAAATTATTTGAGGAAATAACCCCACAGATTACAGTATTATCTATTACGTTGGATGAGAATCGTAACTGCAGATACATTTACATAACAGACGCTGCAGATATATTTTGTAACGTGTAGCTACATCCAAAGTCAATGTTAATACTCACATATCGGTAATCAAGTTCATCTTGAGGCGCACTCCTGGTGGAAGAAGATTTTGGAAGTGTTTTACATGTGTCAACCTCTTCAACCTAAATATCAAACTATCGGTAAATAAAATGTTATGAACCTCTTTATAACTTGTTATAACTAAGGTTAACAATTACTTTTTATTAATTATCTTTTGTTTTATAAGTATAAATTTTTACCTGTATCCTATGGAGAATGTGAAGCTTTAGTTTTAAAAGCAAGTAAAACCTATTAATAATTTTGTTATGAGATCATGTTTGGGTGGAAATACACGCTTTGGGTCCCCATGAAAACAAAAAAATTGTTTTTGAAGTGATGTCTGTGTGAACAAGCGTGCGTGTGTGTCTGGATATGTGTGTGGATTTGTACAGAGACTTGAACCTGTGACCTAATTTTAATGAAATTTGGTATGTAGGTACTGTACCTTATCTCCAGGTGTTTTTTTTTTTTTTATAAATGTAGATTTTAAATGGAAAATTTTCTATAAAACCCATAAATTAACAGGAAAATGGGCTTTTCTCAAAAACGGTTTTAATAAAAATTTAGTTTGTTATGGTCCTTTTAACTGTAAACAAAATTGTACAACCCCCAACGCTGTAAAGATCACAGTTTAATATATTTTGCAATCTTGTGATGTATCCCTAAAATATCATTGGTATTCACGCTTATCAACTTGTATAGGGTTGTTCGTTGTTTGTTGACAAGCTAGTTGTCAGTTTGCAGATACTGTAAGTTTATCACTAACAATTTTGCTACTTGCCATACCTATCTTAAAACAAACCTGTAGAATTCAATTGACCCTCAACTGACACTCACAGTTTTATAGTTGAATTAAGGGAATTCAAGAAACTTGACGGTTACCTACCTGGAGTATCCTAGTTTCTCTAGGGTGTCTCTGAGCAACACCCCAGATATGAGTGATACCACTGAGATCGCTAGGGGTGGATACACTGGCTGCACACCCCATGGCTTACTTGATCACTAATTTGTCACTTGATTGTTCAGGAAGATCTTCACATTGTCACTAAATAGTAAATTTATCAGCTGATCACCTGCAACATGGAAAAAGTTTGAAAATATTTGAAGGTTGATTAGAAATTACAACAATATCGTGTTTATTTAATGGATGTCGATTTATTTCATTACCATCATTATAGTTAAACACAGTGGAAGTATTTAATTTAGTCATCAGTTTGCCACAACTTTTTTAAACTGTCAGGGTTGATTTTTTATTGATTTTCATGTATTTTAGAAATTTTGGCAATTTCTCTGATTATTTTAGTATATCTAAAAGTAAAAAAAAAGTAGAAAGACACTCTGAAAAGTAGGGTGTAAGTAAGACAAGAATTAATCTTTGAAAGTTTGTGTCGGTTTTATCAAAGTTGTTTTCTAGTTTTGAATGTATATGAGCAAGTAATATTTTGAATGAAGATAAAAATTATTCAGATATTGAAATACCTTACCTTAACAATTATCTTCTGTAACTTATTAATTGCAGTAGGCCTACTGTAAATGTTTGGCGCATAATAAATGCATCAGATTGTGTGTCACATATCCAGAGGCGGCCCTACATAAAGGCAAACAAGGCTGTGCGGGGCCCCACGTTTTTCAGGGGCCCCGCACAGCCATATTTCAGGTGAGAGCCCCCCCCCCCCCCCCCCGCTATAAACTTTGCCTTGGGCCCCTCAATCTCTAGGGCCGCCACTGCATAAGTCACAAGTTTTTGTACTTAATCTTAATATATTTTAAATGCAATGCGAACTCTCAACCTTATACCTACTCCACCATGCATTTCCAGTGACTGTTTACAAATACCTATGGTATTTTAAAGTTTTATTTTAGAACGTATTGACTGCATGAATGCAATTTTAAAACCATTTGCCTAGAATATAATCATGATCAATTACAACTCCAATACAAAGTTAAATTCAAACTACCACAATAACTACTGTAGATTATTGAGGAATCTAAAATAAGGGAGGTTAGGAATAGCTCAGATCTGTCGGGTTTATTGAAAGGGTTGAATTCTGATTGGCTCCTACTCACCCTCAGTGAAGCAGTTAAGTTTGAGGTTGCAGTAACCACAACTAAACTGACCATGAGGATCACGTGATTCCCCTTAATATCCCCCCCCCAATATTCCCCCCCCCAATATTCCCCCACAACGCCCCCCCTTAGCGTGGTGAAAGGGGCGGCAGACAACCCCCCCCCCATGTATTGGCTGCAAGCTAACAATAATTAATGCATGAATTAGCCCTTTGAATGACGTGTGAATTGACCCTTGCTTGTCTCCGTTGATATAGGCCAATTCTATTGGTATTTAGTTAACAGGCTATTCAATTTATTTCTTTTTCAACGAAGGAAAAATTGCTCAAGCGAAGTTGTATGTTGCAACCAAAATTAAAAGTATTAAAAAGTTGTGTTTACTTTCCTATCGTCAGCGATTGTATATTTAAAAATGTAAAAAAATGCTCCTTATATATATTGATGAAATCATACAATATTAGAACTATGGTTGTTTCTAAGTTTATAAAGTTACAAATTAATTTGTTTCCAAGACATAAACGGTTTCTCGGCTATTATTATAGTTACAATAATTTTGTTAAGTACCGGTACTCGGTACTACGTACTACTAAACATTTTTTTAGGGTTTTCAAATATATATGAACGTAAATTAGTATATGGAGTACTTAGCTTTATAAGTAGTAGGCCTAGCTGTTGTAGTTTTCTGTTGTTTAGTAAGAGAATTAAAAAGGTCCGTGACCCCTACTTACATTTTCGTTCTATTAACTAATAAACGATTACCTGAATGCATTAATCCTGTCATAATTATTTCGTATCTAAAATTAAATAAAATGACAGTAATTTCTCCAAAATCAAGCCCCAATAAACCATAAACACAGTTCATTCAAACTTGTAAGTTCGTTACATGATAACTTTTTTTAAATATGAAATTTGGTTCAAAATTTGAAACTTATGAACATAATAGAAGAGTACCCATTACCTTTGTACAAAGTTGGCGTATAAGTATAACATTCTTAGAGCAGGTTATACTCGTGCTCTGCGTTTGCAATGGGAGAAGACACGATTTCAGAAAATATGGTTCTTTATTTAATTAAAGGTATACCCATAGATTAAACATACTGTATACCATAGTATAGCACATCTGCCATAGCTATAATGTTCTACCACTGCACCTAAACAATAGAAAAAAGTAGGGTTCTCATTGGGTGCTTTTCGTTGCTCTTGGTTCAAATTAGCTGCTGTCATAATGAAAAATTATATTTTAATCGGGAATGTAAGCTATCATCATACCAAATTTCAACCGAATCCGACCAGTAGTTAATACGTGATTGATCTTCAAACAAACACACAAACTTTCACAATTATAATGTTAGTATGATATTTGTATACCTTATACAAATCAGCTTAATCCGGCCTAAGCAATGATTTAGTGAGAATCTTTGTAAAAAATTAATGATTTATAATTTAATATACATTTCAACAAAATAAAAACATCCAATATCACAATATTCAGGAAACGTGATTTTGTAGAAAAATTTGAGATTTAAATATCAAACTTCATCGAACACTGCGAAGTAGCAGTTGTAAAGTTTTGAACGACGAAACTCTTGGTAATATTTTTATTTTTCCCCCAGAAAACGTCAGAACCCAAGACATGTTAAATTACCCACGACTTGACATCAAAGAACTCTTGCGTGCTTTGCCGACGCAAGAATATAAACAGCTGACAAGTTAGCGTGCAACGATAGGGTCTTCATAAATGTATGATTTAATTAATATCTCTAATTCTAAATTAAAGCTGTCACGTCGCGTTCTTCCACTTGATATAATTTCTAATGACCTTACCGATTTGCCAAAGACAATTCTAAGGCATGTTTTGGTCAGAAGTACTTTTTGATGTTCACCCTTTTTGATCGTTATTTCACTAACGTTTAAGTTTAACCTATTGGCTATAGAGTGTAGATAACATTCATTCCTGCTGAAGTCGTCGCCAATTTCAGAAAACCGAACCACGACAGAGTGCGCTAATTTCAATTACTGTTTTATATGAGGAATACGCAATTTTCAAACTAATGATCTACTGTAAGCTAAGGATTCGTTTCTGAGCTACTTTTCCAAGGATGAATAACTAAGATAGGTAATAGAATTTTTGACGGTGGAGTGACTGAGTCACTTTGAGTGGTTTGTTCAACTTTTTAAATTAAAAAAATAAGGTACGGTATGTCGTAACGTGGTAAAAAGTTGCACCATTTTGAGCGTCTGGTTTTGGTCGGGGGGGGGGATGAATGATTTTTTAACTCTTGTAGTTTACTTTCAAGGCTAAGAAGAGGACGATTCTTGTTCAAAATTTGTAGTTTCTCTTCGTAAAACACATATTACGATAAACTAATCCGCTTTCAAAATACTTCATGAAAAAAATTAACAATTTTTAACCCAAATATTGGTAACAAGTACCAATATTGTGTTTGCGAAGTAGTCCTACTTAATTCATATAGATTGGTAGCAGGTGTTTATTATAATAGTAAAATTATATCGATAAGTAAAAGTTGGAAGCTTCTTGGGAGATAATTCACAAAGGTAAACTACTAAATTAATGTTTTGTTACCGGTAATTAATTAGTGTAACGAAAGTTAAAGTAAACGGGAATATGTCCATTTTGACTTGTTCATTTTACAACATCGGTTGTCAAACCAGAGCTCGCGTCGAAAAGAGTCACTAGAGATGAAAAATACACTACTGAAACGTTAGGATTCCAAGTAAATTAGGATAGACTTCCATATCTGTTGGCACTAACTACCGAATGAAAATATCGATTATCGATTGTTTCATTCGATATATCGTTTGGTTAGTTAGGTTAGGTTAACCTTACCTAACTAACCAAACGATATAACGAACACTCGATATATCGATCGATATTTTCATTCAGTTTTGTCAACAGATACGGAAGTCCACCTGTAAATTAAAATAAACTTTCCGCAAATATTTTTAATCGTAAAATAACAACGCGGGTCCGACACGTGTACATCGTGACCGTTACCAAGGTCAAGTTAAAACAGGGTGAGAGTAAATTGTAAACGAAGGGGATGAAACGGAAGAGAACGGAAGTGAGAGGGAAGAGAGGGTTTGAGAGGGAGAGTTTTCGTCGATACACCCCCGGAAGTTGGGCCAGGTCGGAAACAGGTCAGGATCCAAGGTTATTGAGTACTCCAACACGTGGCGTTAATTTACATTGTTTACTAATCCTTACATTACGAGCGAAGAGGGTTGTGATCCGCTAACATCAGACCTACCGGGCTTGTAGTAGAAAATGTTTGTTTTATCCCTTTTTGGAAAGTGAAATACCCTCTATGGATCGTAGCAAAATTTAAATTCAAATAGTTGAAACCCACTCAAAGTGTGCTAAAGTCGAAATTCTATTTCCTCAAAATTCAATCTTATTGTTTAATAATAATATAACTTATGTGCGTAGAAATTGCTTGTTTAAAGGCTGTTTTTTTTCCAAACTTGGCTTGACAATAGTGGAATAGAAATCAGATATTTATATAAACGCTCTCTGTCAGTTCGTTCGTTCCAAACTGGCTTCCACTTCAACAAAGGGATGTAGCCTTTCGACTCTTTCATTCTGTCAATCAATTGCCAAAACTGAAACTCGTGAATTAATAAACGGCTGTTGTGTAACTTCGTGAATTGCCTCTTGATGACTGGATTATTCGGAAATAGTTTAATTAGGCTGTTGCGCTGTACATGTCCTGAATACGAGTGAAGAGTGTAGAATGAAGTTAGATGCCTTGTGTAGCTTTGTTATTGACTATAAGCATTTAAGCCCCCTTAATCAGGACCTTTTTATTAAATGCTCAATGAATAATTTTGTGTGTCCTTGGACGCTAGGCACGAGTCCGGAATTGTTTTCCACATTACTTAAGGCTAGACCAAGGGGTTGCG